GAAACTGAAAGAAATCCTGGACTCAGATATACCTCTGCGACCCCTCCCAATCAGGGACGTATTAGCCGCGCGGCAAACAAGGCATTTGCCTTGGGCGGCATTTTTTAGGGGGCGGCAAAAAACGCCGCCCCCAAATGCCCAGGACAAATGCCTAGTTAGCCTTGCGGCTAACTGACATGCTGGGCGCTGGGTGGCGCTGGCTGCTGGGCAGGCGGGTGGCTGGCGAGGGAGCTCTTCCTCTGAGCTGACTGCTCAGCTCCCTCGTGCACCGCAGAGTGAGGCTGGGAGCTGGGTTGATGAAGTCATATTCCGGCTCCCAGCCTCACTGCGGTGCGAGAGGGAGCTGAGCAGTCAGCTCAGAGGAAGTGCTCCCTCTCCAGCCGCCTGCCCAGTAGCCAGCCCATCAGCCCGGCCGGCAGCCACTGGACCACCAGGGAGAAAGAGGAACCCCCCCCAGAAGGCTGGGGGTGGGGGTTAAATAAACAAAAAAAAAGTGTTAATGTGAGTGATTGTGTGTGTGTGTGTCTGACTGTGTGTGTGTGTCTGACTGTGTGTGTATGTCTGACTGTGTGTGTCTGATTGTGTGTGTGTGTGTGTGTGTGACTTTGTGTGTGTCTGACTGTGTGTGTGTATTTAGAAGTTGGGGCTGGGGGGAAGGGTTGGGTGGGGGTGGCATGGGGGGGAAGGGAGGTGCATGAGTTTTGTCCTGCCTAGGGCAGCACAAAACCAGGATACACCACTGCTCCCAATGCTGCCCCACCACACCAAGATGCCCATCGGGAGGTACAAGAGGTCCCTAACGAAACACCTCCTGAATGCCGCTAAGAGCCTGATCCCTACTAGGTGGAAGTCACAATCAGGCCCAACCGTGTCAGACTGGATAGAGAAAGTAGAAGAAATATATGGCATGGAAAGCCTAACGGCAGACCTAAAGGACATCGCAGTAAACTGTGCCAGATTGTGACACCCTGGATAGACTATATGGCCCGTAGACCTGCGAGGTGGGAGGCCCCGGAGACCGAGTAGACGCCTCCTGCCAATAGCCGAGCGTTGTGGGCCACGGGCCGAAGGTGGCGGACCCTCTGCCGATGGGCTACCCCTCCCCCACTCCCCCTGTTCCCCCCGCCTTACTCCCCTCCTCCCACAGCCCACCCTTACTCCCCCCCAAGGACCGTACTGACACAAGACTGATCACAAACCCCGAACCCCTCGACATGGATCGCTTACCACACCATAAGTCGACTAAGGACCCGGGATTGGCTAGAAATGACAGGCGACCTAACCATATCATGGAAGACCTAGCCGAATAGAGATAACGTTTAGGAACCTGAGGCCAATGAATCCCCTTCTATGACCACCCACACATCTGGTACGCTAGAACAGGAGCACGGTTAGACAGGGTGGGGAAGAATAGAGATGGGAGTTGGGATCTGCTGGGACACGGTTGTGACCTGAACTAGAAGTAGGTACACAACAAAACTTAGACCGACACAACTAGACTCACTACACCCCGTGCTTGTTTCAGTTATACAAGTTAAACGTTTTCCTTTTTCTTTCTTAAAGGCTGGAACGCAAACACGACTAAGCTGGGTGCATTAAAGTATCCCAAAACTTAGACCACAAACAAAGGGTTGCACAAAAGACAACACACCCAGTGGTAAAAATAAAAGATACGGCTAAGCAGATGCCACCGAGCCACTGATGCTGAGACACGAATAAGGGGAACTTGTCACAAAAAACTTATTCTGTTCTATGACCCTGACAAAATGTTTGAAAAACTCAAACTAAAGATTGTCAAAAAAAAAAAAAAATTCAAATTATTAGTTAGTTTGTCTTGGTTTTATATGAATTATTTCTTTGTGGTTACATTTTGAGCCTCTCCACATCTGTGGCATACAAACTTGGATACCCTACAGCTGTATGGGTGTGTTATTTGTGGTTTCACATTACCTTTGCCCACCTCCTATCCTTTCCCCTCCCCCCCAAAAAAGCCAATATTTAACTTTTTGTATGTTGCTATCCTTTTTTTTAATAACTCATTCAAAAAATATTGGAACAAACTTGGAATGTTACACCTTCTCAAGCTGCAGTTTAAACTCAGACAAGTCTACCCACCTACAATTAAAGAAACATTGTGCATTATGCATTACTTTGAGATAACTGTAGCCTTTGTGGATTTGTTTTTGCATGTTTATCTGCTTCTTCTTTTCTAACCAATCAGTGTCCTATCCCAAAGAATGCTGAAAACGTGCTTTGGACATGCCTAACAGATTTACACATTTGGAAAGATTTACGCAGTTGGAAGATCTCTTCACTTTGCAACATCTTGACAGGGGGAGAAGAGAGGGAGTCTGCTCAGTGTAATCATGCAGAGCAGGCTCCGGTGTCGGTTTCTCTCTCCTGTTGCTGCACAATGATGCCCTGTTTCTTTCAGGCCAGGACTGGCCATCGGGCACACCGGGCAAATGCCCAGTGGGCCGCGATGGCCGAGGCCGGCAGGGGAGATCACAGAATCTCCCCTGCCAGCCCGTGCAGGGCCAGCGCTACCCGAGCGCCGGCCCCGCTGTGTGCCTCCATGGGCCGGTGGGGAGATCAAAGATCTCCCTCACCAGCCCACAGGCAGGGAGATGCGGCCGCTGGCTGGGTGAGGGAGGGAGGGAGGACCCGGCGGAGCTCTAACAAGCAGCTCCGCCGGGTCCTCTCGCGAGATTCTGAGCGTTGCCGCGGCAACGCTCAGATCTCGCGAGAGTGAACTCTAACCTGCAGGTTAGAGTTCACTCTCACCACTGGGCCACCAGGGAAGCATGACAGAACGGATCTCCTCCCCCCTCCCAGGATAAAGGTAGAGAAGAAGGGAGGGGGGGAAATATTATTATTATTATTTTTTTTTATTAGTAAAAAAAAAATATTTAAATTTAAATAAAAAAATACATTCACTCACAAACACACAGCCCCCAGACACAGCACCCCCCCCCAGACACACAGAGCACCCCCCGACACAGCCCCCAGACACACACAGCACCCCCAGACACACACAGCGCACCCAGACACACACAGCGCACCCAGACACACACAGCGCACCCAGACACACACTGCACCCACAGACACACACAGCACCCACAGACACACACTGCACCCAGACACACACAGCACCCCTAGACACACACAGCACCCAGTCACACAGAGCGCACCCAGACTCACACAGCGCACCCAGACTCACACAGCGCACCCAGACACACACAGCACCCCCCAGACACAGCACCCCCTAGACACACACAGCACACTCCCACACATATACAGCACACACACACATATATATATATATATATAAAATAACCCTCAGTGAGTTAACAGACAAAGAAAATTAGAAACCTAGAATGTGACAGCAGATAAAAACACCCTCACACACAGCACCCCTCTTACATACACACACTGCGCCCCTCACACATACAATAAGTCCAAATATATATATATATATATATACATACACACACACACACACACACACACACACTACAGCACCCCTCACACTGCACCACAACACACATTACGCTCCAGATACACACTAAATCCCTTACTCTATATGCACTCTTTATCCTCTATACACACACACACACACACACACGGTCCCTTACACAGTAGATCTCCTACACACACACACTACATTCCTTGTCAGCAAACACATACAACATTCTCTAAACACACCCTCTCTGCAACCCCTACACACACTACGTCACCTATACACACACACTTCAGCCCGTATGCACACACTCGCTGCATCCCTTATAAAACTATGCCCCCTATACACACACTCTCTACAGCCCCTAGCCACACATATTACACCACAAACACAAATTAAATTGACCTATTTACACAATACGACACCACACTCTACACACACGCAATCCCACAAGCAGGCTCCAAACATATGCACCATGCACTTTCCTGGCCCATTTGTCCTCTGGTATCCCACTTGTGGAGACTCCAGAGACAATTTAAAAGCAAACACAGCACAAGCATGTTATTACATTTGCTTGCACTGCGCAGAACAAATTCAAGGCCTTTTTCTAATGCCAGAGCTCTTCAGCAGGGCTCTGGGCATTGAACCAACATGCTCACTTTGAGAGGGGGCGTGTTGTCATTAGTGATGACAAAACACACACTCTCTGGCCCCGCCCCCTTCTTAGGGGGCCGCTCTGATTGAAAAATGCCCGGGCCTAATTTTTTTCCTAGTCCGGCCCTGGTTTCTGTCATTAGTAGAAGGGAGTGGGTAGGCTGAAGAAACGTCACCAGCTGAAAGGCGTGCCCAATAATGCAATCTGACCAAGTTTATAGTAAGTTTATAAATGTTTATTACATACTTTTCAAAGGTTTTATTGCTTTATTTTGGTTTGTATATTTGTTTAAAAGTATTTGCTTGCTGGTTTAAAAATCACATTTCCAACTGTTGCATGTCCCTTTAGGGTAATTCCCGAAGGACCAAATTTGGTCTGTATCAGCAAAATGTGGTTAAAATAACCAAGTTATAACTGAACATGTAGTTTACTTACAGCAAATCTGGCCAAAATTCCAATACAAATTGCTTTCAGATTATGACATCTCATTCAGTGTCTGCTTTATAGTCCATAATTCTCACATGCAAATTCTGTATCAAATATAGGATTAACATATTTATCAAAGCATTCTATTGCCTCAGCCCATGTAGCAGTCTCTGATACAGGTACACACCACGATCAGTATGGGCTATCACAAGCCATAAAATTACATGTCTGTTAGTCCACCCATTGTGCAGTGCTATGGAATGTGATGGCGCTGTATAAATAATAAAAAAATTATAATAATATCACAAGTGAAGCAGCCCAGTCATAAGGATTGATTGGCTCTCAGACTGATTGCCTTGAAAGCCAATTTCAGGGATGACATGCATTAAATGACTGCAAACTCAAAAAACATAGTACGAGCGCTTCTTTTGATACTCTTCACTACTCTACTGAAATCATCTCCCATGCATGTCCTGTCCTCAGTGGACATTCACACCAGACTGACCTGTCAGTAATCTGGACTTACCTATCCCCTTTCTGTCAGATCCACCCCCTTTGGTCATAGCCATTGGCACCCCTCACCCACTACCACACACAGAGTGTGTCACTTCTCAGGACATAATGTTGGATGGTATGGTAAGGGCTCAAACATTTCTGATCGTAGCAATGGCTAGTTAGTATGGTGATACAGATAGCATCCCTGGCATGGCTCTAATTTTACTCTGCAAGTTGCCCAAAAACCTGGCAAAGGCGTACATGTGGGGTACTGCTTTATTTCGGAGTTAGAGACGAATATAAACCCAGTGTACTTGAAGTAGTAGAACCCACAAGGGTTTTAAAATTCACCATTAAATGTCTATATGTAGTTGATATAATATATAATAAAGTTAGTGATAAAATGGCCAAATTAAAGGCTCCAAATGCCCCATGTGATACAGCACAATTTGTCTTTTATTGCATATAGCATGTCCTGATGAGGGTACAGTGATATTGGGGATTGTTATTTTGTCCCAAAAGCAAGAAAGGCCCAGTAAATCAACTTGTAAAAGTGGCAAATCTGAAAAGTGAAATTAGCATATCTGTAATTTCACTCTAAAACTTCTAAAATGACTGGCCAGACAATTCAGTATTAGCAGCCGTTTTGACAGGTAAAATGGTTAAATAAAAAATGCTCTTTGTTAAATACTTTTAGGGATCTAATTTCTTTCAATATATTTTTGTAAGGTATTATGGATTTAGTTACAACTATTACACTTACAGTCCGAATTAATGTTTTTGTTTTGTTCCTTGTTTCCCATTTTCTCATATTTTATTCCCATTTAATACTCTTCTATTTTTAAATAGGGCATAAGAAGTAAACCCAATATGTCTTTTAAAAATAATATATATGGAAGCACCCAATGGCAAAGAGACAAATTACAATGGAACAAACAGAAGCTCAGAACATTACCGACTGACTCTGACAAACTATAGATAAAGATGTACTGGCTTATTCACTAAACTAGGAAGAGACCAGATCATTTCAAATCTTAGACCAAAATGTAATAATGTTATGTTATAGTTTAATAAATTGGAGCACTTTCAACTTCCAGTCCCTTTGCGCCAGTCTGTTTTTTTTTTCTCTGCCAGCTGAAGACAATTACAGGAGCAAAGAGGAGGTTAGTTGGAATTTAATGGGATATTTTTTTAAATTGCTTTATAATGCAAACTTTGCTTGTGTATACAGAGGGTAGAGTGAGAAGAGATTAATCAATCTTGCATATAGAATATTTGTACATTATGTTCTTTGCTCATTTTTGGAATATTTTACTGCCTTTAAACAGTTTTGTATAAAGATGAAACAGGGCAAGTAATATTCATTCAAGGTTCATTGCATTTCTTTTAAATGTGTTAAATGATATGTTGTTTCAGAGATAAAGTGTTCGAGAGTTCCGAGAATAGATTGCCGATGAATATCGATCGGTTAAATGCTCAGCTGTGGTCTCATAACTAAATAACACGGTTTGCCTTTCACTTAATCAGCTCTAATCAAGTTGTCATAGAGTGTATGAAGAGCGGCCAGTTTCTTGCAGGAATCATAATTATAAGGAACTTTGAGAGAGGTTTGTGTGGTTAAGACAGGGGTGTACCCAGACCTAAATTATAGGAAGAACTAGACCAATATGTCTTCTTTGGCGCCTTGAAATCATACTTTTGATGTTTCTAGCAAAGCAAAAGGAAATAGTTTATAGTATTTAGTGACAATTTAAAAAAAATATACATTTCTGATTGGTCAAATTTGTTTTTTGTTGATAGAAAACAGTTGCTCTCTCTCTCTCTATCTGTATATATATATATATATGAATTATATTAAAACAGTTTATAATATTAAAACTTGTAGCAAACAGGTTTAAAGGACCACTATACTGCCAGGAAAACATACTTGTTTTCCTGGCACTATAGTGCCCTGAGGGTGCCCCCACCCTCAGGGCCCCCCTTCCTGCCGGGCTCTAGGGGGTGGAAGGGTTTAAACTTACCTCTTTCTCCAGCACCCAGCAGGGGACTCTCCTCCACTCCTCCTCCTCGCCTGAACCAAGCTGAAGTGGTCTGGGTGCCTATAGTGGTCTTTTAATGATATCAATAGACTCTGCCCTTACACTGTAATAATTGTATCATTGCAGTGAACCAAGACCATAGTCATAGGGATAAAATACAGACTGCAGTCTTTCCTGGGGTGATTGAGTTCATGGGTTGAGGTACTTGCAAATAAAGGGATGGTTTAACCTCTGAATGTAAAATTCCGAGCTTTCCACTGTCTTCGGGTTCCAAAAACATCTCTGACCCTGGCAAAGATCTCTATAGACCTTAAAAAGGAAGAATACTTTGTGGTGTAGAGCGTTTTCTATGTGGCTTTCTCTTCAGAGACCTTTCGGTGAACTCCTAAAGTAGATCTCGGTAACTAGTTTAATTTTATTCCAGATCTGATCACTTGCTGTCAATTAATCCAATGGCAATTCAAAGAATAACACATACTTAAAGGAACACTATATTGAAAAAGATAGATTGATAGATTGATAGATCGTTTACTGGTCCAGTCTTTTTTGTTTTAAATAAAAACCTTACTTGAGGGGGCTGAGATTGACTGTCTCGTGAGAGTGTCTCACAGATTGTGAGCTCCTCCATGATTTACAGAGATGTGACGGAATCCTTCTACATTTCGGACAACTATCTATGCCAATCTACTGTGACAAGCTTGAAATAATTTATTACACCGTGGAGGCTAGATGAGTTGGTTCATATTGAGTCTACAACTGGTGTTGTCATCTGTGCCCTTGGTGGTGAATTGCTGATCCCTCACTTCTTGCTTAACTTACCCATATGCAGAGTTTCTCTCTGAGTCTCTAGCTTTCCTGGTCCCCATTGCAGAGGCTGCTGCTAATTTCAGCTGTGGACTGTTTCCTCACATTTAAATGCCAGCCGTATATCACAAGATGGCCGAGAGGGTACATGGCATGGAATCATGTTCGCAATCAGAGGATGTCTTACTCCAATATGACCGTCTGGGTGAGAGATTATTGGCCCGATTGCATCTTTTGACAGCATCTCATACTTAGCAGACTTGGGGTGACTTGCCAGGCAAAGCTGCCAGACCTGCCATTATTCCTTCACGGCTATGCCTTCCTAGACTGAGAGCCACTGGAGGATTCCACACTTTCACTTTTACCCTGAGAGGGCTTTGCTCTTTTGGAAAAATGACTTGTACATTAAGTATGGTCAGGTCTGTGGCGAATATGTGGTGGTTCTCTCTATGCTCCTGGGGCTGGCATGGTGTAGTTTTGGGGCTCTGATACCAGTGCAAGAACTTGCAGAATGCTGTTTGAGTACCCTCGCTAGTCTTGCACAGAATTGAATGCAACCTTTATCCGTGAGTGCCACAACAGGCCCTCTTTCTGCATCCAAGTCACTTTTCCAAGGATTGGTAGTAATATTTGTGCCTTCTCCCCAACATTACCCAGTCTTGGCATAGGACGACTCTTTCCCTGCAAGGGCTTTTTGGCCCATACTATGGCTGCCTATTTGTTTTTATTTTTATATTCTCACAACTTGTGCCTCTACACAGGTGTTTATGTTTGCTGAGTAGCCTTCGTACGGTCCCTACATTAATCTGCTTTTAATATGTCAACATATTACCTATTAGAAAATTAGATGTTTTCATCTATCAGCTTGCGCTATAACTTATAATATGTATTATTTGCCAAAATTCTTTGTCATACACTGGTATGCTATCACCTCAATAAAAACTTGATTGACAAAAAAAAACAACCACCTAGATTAACAGTCTGTGTGTATCCAATCAGAAGCAGTGAGTGAAGGCGTAAAGCAGGGACACTGAATGTCATTAGGTTCATTCCAACCTTGTATGGTCTGGAGTCTCTAGTGGCTCTCTAAACAGCAGTCATCAAGTAGTCGTGAAAAATGTAAACAATGCATTTCTCAGAAAATGTGCTGTTTTCATTTCAAAGGCTGGAGGGGCCTCATGTGTCCCCTAAAATCACTTTAATAAGATGAAGTGAGTTTGGTGCTTAAACTGTCCTTACATAGCATAACTGTCACATAGGAGATTTATGTACTAACAAATTACTGGGAGAAAACTTAAAACTAGGGGAAAAAACTGTTTGGTTATAGGGGCAAAAAAGGCCCTGACACAAACCTTCATTTTTCGATCAGTAAGGATTTTTTCATTGTAAAACCCCTTTTTACTATTATTTTTAAAGATTTAAAATCTCTTTATCAAAGGGCCACTATAAGCACTCGGACCACTTAATCTCAATAAAGTAGTCTTGGTGCAGTGGACCTGCTTTTTCACTCCAGCTATCTAAAATATTGCTATATTCATTGCGGGGCTAAACACACCTCCAGTTGCTGTCACCCTTACAGCCACTAGCTGGTGCTTCCATAACAGAGTCTGACTCCGTTCTTGACTTTTGACATCCTCACGCATTTGATTGGACAAAGTGATCATCAGTCTTGATGACTTCACTGGAGGCAAAACAGGTTACAGAGAAGAGGTCATCTCAGTGATGGATTGCAGTAAAAGGTTCATTTAATATTTTTTTTTAATTGATAAGGGGGAGGGGGGGGGGAGGGGGTAGCTGAAATCTAAATAGTCCAAAAGAGACTTTCGAGTAAAAGTTTAAAAAATCATTCCCACCCCACTGAGGATATATGGTTAGCAACATGGAGTAATATATAACTATTACTAAGCTCACTGACTGATTTGTTTTCGTGGATTTTTTACAATAATATCAGTGTGTTAGATTATAAGGCTAGAGGCACGTTTGCCAACCATTACGTGATCAGTAAGTTTACATGTGTTTTATTGTAACTATTTCTTACTCACGTTGTATAGCACTATGTAATATTTTGGCAGTTAATGTGTTATTACATGGTAGTAAAGGCTTTAGGCAAAATCTCCTTTCTTGAAGTCTCAATGGATGACCTCTTGTCCTGTGTACAGTCCTCTCATTGAACATGTTAGCAGAGAGCTGTATTTATTTGTGTAGGACTATCATATCCCCTCTGATGTTGTTGTATTAATAAATCTGGTAGTTGTTTGGAAGAGTTTTTAGAAACTCTAACCTTCCATATGTTTGGGTTACTTATTCCACAAGCACCTGTTCCCTGTCCTAGGAAATCATCTGTTTATCTCGCTTTGTTGAGTTCAACAAAGTAGATCCACTTGAGGCGGATTTGTTTTGTTGAATAGCTTGTGGAACAGTTTTCCTCTTTGATATTATGGACACTGTCCTCAGATCCATTGATGGGATTATCTATGGAAGTACAATGAGCGTAAAACAATAGAGTAAACATGGGGTTTTTGATCTCTGCATGTGAAA